TAAAATCTTTCTTTAGAATCCCGAAACCGCATCAGATAGTTGGCGTCAAACAGGCTTTAATTATTCAAAAGAGGGCTGCCTTTTTAATAAGTCCATTTTGTAAAAAGAACAAAGATGCGCTGATCCTTAGCGCAATATCATATGAGAAGCACTCATGATAAGGCTCTTTGTCTGCCCGCCACACCTATCCCACTTTGACGCATCCTGATGAAGGTCATGTGAACAAGGTCGATGTTAAACAAATTCTCAGCTGTGACCTCAACCTTTATCAAACTTATGCCAGACTTACTAATACCATTACATTTTCCAATTTCACCTCACGGATGCTGCGCAGCAGCACTATCTGTGAGTCGTCGTCGACATTTGACGTGTGGCGCAATCTCGTTCCCAGAGATACTCTGGGAACGAGATTGTGTGTGGCGTTATTAAACAATGCCAAATGGGAAATGACCAGGACAAATTGACAAAGGGCGTTCGCTCGAAACGCCAAAGTTCCCCTTGACATGTATTAGTTGTATCCCTATTACATAATCCGCAGCTTTCCTATACGCCTTTTCGGGGTTCTAGCAAGATGGCGTCGCGAAAAGTGGTATGTGAGAACCTCACTAAGACGCAAGCACTTTTTAAAATGCTTAAAAGCATTAGATAACTCCATAAGCACGTATAATTATGCCCATCGGCAAGAGAGGTTAAGATTGACAAGTACGGCAGAGTACGGCAGACCACGGGCAAACCACGGGCAGCTAGACCACGGGCAGACTGGTAACCGCAAACGGGAAACTTCAATTCGCATTTAAGGTAAGTTCTACAAGTTTCCGAATGTTTCGACAAGTTTTTAGTCAATTCATTCTTCAATTTTATGCACAAATTGTCAGTAACTTCGAACAGCTTACAGTTGATCTCAAAATACGACTTGAAGTTAGCGGTTACTGGTCTGCCGTAAACGTCAATCTTAACCTCTCGAATTGAATAATAGTTGAAAACTTGAAGGATTTTGTTAGATGGAAATTATCGAAATTTACACTTACACTCGATAATTTCAATCTACAAAAGTCAAAATCCTTCACTAATTGAGCTGTAACAACGAATCTCAGATGGCAAGTATACACATGTCATGTAGAAAAATTTCTAATTTACTTTTTAAATTTCAGTGTTTTGTACCGGTATTATGGTATTACAGAAGAACCGATTTTTAATTTGCGGAATTCCGGACACCGGCACGTGCAGTTCATGAATTGCGAGGATTCCTAAGCTACATACCTAAAAACGCACAACTTACATCAGGGCGCTGTTAGGAGGGTGTTGATGGGGTATATCGTGAATCATGATTCACTCAAGTTCGGTTACCGTCAGTCCGGAAAACACTAAAAATTTGGCGTGAATCGTGAGGAAAAAATACTGTTTCAGAACACTTTTCAAAGATTTACCGTTAAAAAACCAAAATTTTACTTATTGTTACCATTAAAATACCAAAATTTTACCGTTTACTGATTTTCAGAACCCCCTCCCCCATCTAGACCCTCTGTTAGCACTCAGGGCGCCTATATCAGTATAAGCCACCTGACACTATTCAACTATTCAAGTAAGTTTAATTTAGAATATTTGAATGTACAGCTGGGTTAACCAGCAGTCACGTTCTATAACTATTAGACAGATTTAAATTCAGGACGCGGACGTCAAAGACGACGTGAAAATGGCGTATTGTGCCCATGTATGGATATGCCCATAGATATATATCTCCTATATCTATGGATATGCCACGCCATTTGACGCCATATTCACGTCGTCTCAGAAATCTGTCTATTTTTAGCACAGAAATGATGTCACTGCAACTTCGTAATGCATCGTAATCTTTCGGAAATCACGAGATTGTAGGATATTTATGTTTAACTAGGGTTAATAGGGATAATTAGGAGAAAAATTTGTGATGTAATCATCTCTTGTGTTGATCACATGACAAGGGAATGAAAACAACAACACAAGTGGTCAAGGGCAGAGAGTACGTTTTAGAAATATCGAGAAAACATCAAAATTATCAAAGATAAACAACAACAGAAAAGTCAAATAAGGTAAGATATATGTTGCTAAATAAAAAGTATTTCAATTCCGTACATTAGGGGAATACTCGTCGTTTTAATCATTCACAATTGCTGAATTGCGAAGCTCCGCACGTTGGGCAAACTAATTTCGCGGCTTTTTTATCTTTGCGAATTGTGATTAAATTTCCAGCATGATTGCCGTAGTAAACTGGCGGTTAGTCTAGAGAAAACGTATTCTTTATGAAGTGTACTAATAGTGAATTTAAAACAGAAATATCTTAGACAGAGATCCAAAATATCAAAATTTTGGCCTTCTGTTTTTTATAAACGACAACACAATGCTGTATATATTTTGATGGACTTTGTAGTTTGTAGAAGTACTACCTGTAATTCAATATCCTAAACTCTATTCACTTGTTGGTGACCTCTTTTATATCTCACTACTCATGTGGCTTTAAAAATAAAACATTTCCTTTTTTATAGCTGACAAAACAGCTTCTTTTCCAAATGTCGACAGACGAATAACGACGAATGTATCAATATTAAAATATAAATTGCGTATTACAAATTCGGAGCGTCAATCTGGCGGTCAAACCTTCGATAACTTTATTAGTTAAACATGCCTATGCCTAGACATGTGTGTTTGTAAGGGTGTTTAGAAGAACAGTGGCATTAGTTTTGAAGAAAAATCGTTTTGGTATATTATTACTGCTGTACAGTATATAAACGCCCAACACTTTAATACCCATTGAGAAATAAAATCAGCTAGCGTTAGACATTCCTCAAATACCATAGTTATTGGGAATTCAGGGCAACATGGATTAATGAGAGACCTGGTCAAAAAGTGTGATATTACAATCCATGAATGGCATAAGGGGTCGTCAACAAATAGATTTTTGTCCACCGATTGCGGACTTGTTCTGTGATCATGGTGTGTCCCCCTCCCACTCCTCCATCGCAGACCAACATGGGAAAGTATAAATTATCAGGATTTTGGGCATTTACACTTGACAGAGGGCCCCCTATACTTTTTGCGTGAAGCGTGAAGGGCTTGTTTTACTTAGCCGTGAAATGTGATCAGGCCCCCTATACTTTTTGCGTGAAGCGTGAAGGGCTTATTTTACTTAGTCGTGAAACGTGATCGATGATTTTCTTAATCCGTGACTCGTGAAAAGGCAAAATATTTTTACGTGAAAGCACATTGTGAAGAGGTATAGGGGGCCCTCTTGACAGTATTTAAATTAAGAATGCTGTTTTGACAACAATTGTAGACCCATATATAACCATTTTTGAACTATTTTAATAAATGTCTAAATAGTGTTTTATGGCATACCAAGAGCTATTTGTAAAAACCTAAAAAGAAATTAAATAAAATACCTTTAATTTTGTGACCAAAAATGGCGAATTTGAACAAAAATCCCAAAACACATATCGCACCTGCAGTTTATGTGCATGTGTCAACAACAAAGGATCACTGCCACAATCAAATACTCCAGCTCCGAAACTAAATGTTTGGATAATGTTGAATAAACGCTGTTGCATTTATGGATAATATGCAATGCTTTTTTACACACATACTAATTCAGATTTCGTCCTCATTTTGCTTTTCATAGCGAATTCAAAGCCAACCCCTGGAACAAGTCTGTGATTGGTGGACAAAATCTATTTGTCAATGGCACCTAATATGATAAAAAGTTTAGGGTGCACTACTGCCTGCAACTTATGTTGCCTTTGATGAGTAAATTTGTTAGTATTTTTAAGTGTGCTAATTTCAGTGTGTGCTGTGCCCACAAATTCAGGAATTGCCTGGGCAGGGTAAGCCACTGTAAGTTAGCCATAATAATGCCACAAGTTAGTGTTTTAACAGGCAACTCCATTAACAAGCCTTCACGTTTAATGGCTAAATTTATAGGGGAACATCCTGCTCCCTGCTTAAGTTTTCCAACTAAAATAATGGGAAAAGTGCCCTCTCTATTAGGAAAAATGCCCCTTATAAAGATGTACAGTATTGCTCCCCCAATTTGCATAGTTTCCTATGCCCTATGTTTGTAAAATATCAGTTGGTGTTAACAGGCTCACATTATCAGGGAGGGTGATTAATATGTTTTGTGAAATATATCTAAAAAGTCGGTCTCGAAACCTGAATGGGATGAAAAAGTCGGTCCGGCTAAAATCTGAAAGATATTATCATTTTGTGTCGAAAAAAGTAATAGGTGGACATTTTGGAAATGGAAGTTGCATAAACATAAGAAAAATGCGTACGCATATACAAATTAGAGTTCACTGACAGAAACCAAGAGATCAATTATATTATACTAGTAGCAAAAATCAACTTCCGTGTTGCAACAGTTCAGCCAACGTAATGCGATCCGATTACCTCAAGCCCCGCGGTGCAGTGAAAATGCGCATTGTTAGTCCACATTAGTCTTGTCACAAAAGCTGAAACTTTGATCATGAAAGGCAGAAGTAAATCAGCGGCGTAGCCAAGGTGGGAGCTTTGCAATGGTCAGAAGGACTGCCCTTGTGGAAAGCTGAAATCCGGGCAGAAGTTGGGGTGGGGGTACGATGTGTGAATAATGATACCCATCTCTTCTGTTTGCCTTCCCTACCTAGAATTCTAACTCCAGTAAAAAATGCCTATGGTTGTTTTAAAGCACATTTGAACTTGAATTTGCGTTCAAAGCAGCACTCATGACGGACTTCTACAAAAACGAAGACATCATGCTATTTTGCTGTTGTATTTGCGTGCACAATACAATGTTTTACATAAATATTTTTTCGATCTAACAACATTAGGCGACTTAAAAATGCCTTTTTGTGGTTGTAACTGTTCTTCAAACCTCGTCCTAAAATACGTGAAATAGCATCCTAATGAATCTAGAAATTCAAAAATTTTCCTCGCCTACGGCGCTCGCATCCGAAATCCATAAAAATTTTGCCTCCCCCCCCTCTCCGAAAGTTTAGACCACTGCAAAAGTTCTGAAAAACTGAACGTTTATTTAAACTGTTGGAATAGTATCCCCGTCTTACCGTCCATGCCCTTTAAATAGTTGGCTTTTCTTACCAAACACAAATACTACAAAAGTCGGTCCCAGAACATAGGACCCCCCAATTTTTTACGAATGTGCGCCCCTGGGTGTTAATTTAGTAGTTGGTTTTAAGGGCTAATTAATAGTCAAAATACTGTATATATCCAATTGCCTGATTTGCAGGCATTAAATCCTAAAATCTAGTGATGTAAACTTTCCAACTTTGGACCTGAAAGATTCCACATTCCTGAGGGGTCCCAGGGGTTTCCAGGGAACAAAGTATATTTTCAGTGGCATAGTGCTCATTGGGTAGGGTTAGTTAAAAAACTAAGGGCCCCCGACAGTTAGGGGCCACATCACCCACGACCTATCGCCCAGAAAATTAGAAAATGTAAAAAATGCAGGTTAAGGATCAATGGGAAAATGCAAAATTAACATAAATGCTAAATAATATAGCCTCCATCGACAACGGTAGCTGATTTTTTAATTCCATCTCAAAGTTGTTACATGTGTTGGAGACTGTTATTGTTATAGACATGGAATTTTCCAGAACATTTTATAAATATTCAATATAAATATAATATGCCTAAGGGCCCCCTGTTCCTCCGTTACGCCACTGTATATTTTGCAATGGAAACACGGTGACTAAGCCAAAGAAATAGCAGGGAGTTCAATAGTAGGGACCCAAAATGGGGAACAAAGGAAAAATTTCCAAGACAATGCAGGAACACCAACCCACTTGAAGACCCTTATTCCTAAGGGTAATTGTAAAAAATCCAGCAGAATCACACAAAAATAATAATTTTTAATTAAAAACATTCAATTTACAAGATCTTTGGAAATACTGTTTATAAAAATTAGTGTTTTTAATTCTATATTTATTTTATTAATTAAATTAACGTTCATCTAAAATTATCATATTATTAACTTTATTTAGTACATAATAAAGTTGTTAAAATCATTAAAAATGTCCAATAAAGAAATGTCCAAAAAGGATCAAATTAATGGATCCTTGCTGATATTGTCTCTATATCAATGTTCCCCGCATTACAGTGTACTCATTTTTAACATTCTTGAACCTCGAATGCATAGGATCAGCAGTGCAGATCTAAGGATTGAAAAGGATATCACACAAAAATTGACATTTGAAAAATACACAAAATTTGGAAAAACTGGGAACTAAAGGAATAACTACAGTAAATAATCAATAAATGAAATTTTCTTGTGTTTTAGTGTCATCAAAATATGTCATCTGCTTCCGAATCATGCCATCCAACACCCAAACATTCTCCTGAAAATGAAATACCACAGGTATGAAACAGAAAGGGTTCTTCAGGACTGTTACTGTAAAAAACCTGAACTTACCATAAAGGTAGTTTCAAAACTCAATCATCTTGTCAGATTTTTGGGGTTATTGTAACTTAAGAATGAAATAATAAGAGGTACAAAATGTATTCAGATTGTGCCTTTTTGACAGCGGCACCTAAAATCTGGAATGAACTGCCGTATGATGTGTGAAATGAAGGAAGTTATTCAAAATTTAAATGTTTACTGAAGACACACTATTTTCGATTAGCTTTTATCAGTATTTTAAAACTATATAGTTTTACTCAGCATTTTAATCGCATTTTATTATATAAAGTATAGTGCTTTATAGAGATTTCGAGCGCTGATTATTCATGATAATCTCACATTATCACTTTTCAATTATCGCTTTTCTGTAAAAATTATCGCTTTTCACAGACTGTTCTTTATATAGTAAACAGAAAAATACATGGGTGCTTGGAAATACCAGATTTATTTCTCATGTTGAACATGATATCTCACTCGTGAGATATCATGTTCAACACTCGAAATAAATCTGGTATTTCCGTGCACCCATGTATTATTCTCTATATATTTAACATGATTGTAATTTAATTTATTTAGGTTCTAATGCTCATTTGATCGTATACATATGGATATTAGCACAATAAATTATTATATTCATTTTCCATGTATTTTTATTCATTAGCGCGGTTCTGTTATTGGTGCCATCAAGAAAGCAGTTTTTGTCATAGGGACTGCATTAATTTTGTTTGGAACAATTCGTAATACCATTACATGGTGAGTGTGGGATAATACATTCTAACTAATGTTATACATGTACATTTATATCTGTGTTTTTAGCTTGTTTAGGTTATTAACTACTTGCCTTTGTCGTGTTTAGGTATTTTGAGCTAATATGGGGATCATCAAAAGATTTTTGGCAAAGTAAATGGCAAACCATCCATGATTTTGTTGATGGTGATGAAAAGGTGCTATCTATTATTGGTAGGTTTATGAAGTTAGTGTAGGTCAATACATACAATACATGCATATTCCTCATGAAGTTGGCTGTGATATTTAGTTGATGCTCAGATGCTGGTATGGCAGTATTTGTTCTAATGCTATACAGGGTGTATCAAAATAAACGCAATTCATCTTTTGTGCTTTATAACTTTCGAAATACTATATCTAGTTGAACGCTTTTAGGCTTACTTCAAAGCCTGTTCTTTTCTCTTTCAAAAAAAATATTATCCTTGTCTCCAATACTAGTAATAATTGCACAGGAAACGATTTAGTAAAACTTATCATTTTTAGTTGCTGTTTAATTATGCAAGTTTACTATGTTATTGTTTAGTCAGTTTAAATGTTAGAATTTTCTTCTTTAAACTTTAATGTTGTCGTCACTACATCTGGAAAACCACGTAAGAACAAATTAAAAGTATTTTAAAAGAGACCAGGTTGTTTGAAAATCCTAAACGAATGCTAACAATCGTCAAAACATTCTGGTGTCTGAGCCAGAGTGTCTTCGAATTGCGATGTAATGTAATGTAAACAGAAATTATAGCAAGTTGATGTCAGTCAGCTTAGATGGTCCAAGCCAAAATTATATCACATTTAAAGTTTCAAACTGAGTTAAAAATAGTGGAAGAAAAGCCGTAATTATACTTATTGTTACAATCCGTTTAATAAAATGCAAATTTTTTTCGTTTTAATGAAAAAATCAGTTATTTTCATGAGAACGATTTGTTATTCCATCTCAATTTTTTTAATCTCCAATCGCAATAACCTAAAGCATTATTACCCGCGAACCAATGAGTCAAATTTAAGAAACAACCCACTGTTAGAAAGCTGAATGGCTACGCTTTAAAATGAATCTAAACTTTAACGTTTTCGTCTATTATTTGTTTAGCAATTTACATTTCAGTCGAGGATTGCGCTTTTTTTTATACACCCTGTATATGGGTATACAATTATGGTATGGTTTACTGTAAGATATACTGTACAGCTAGGGTAGGGTGAGGCGATTAATCAGTAAACTGGAAAAAACTCAGTAATATTGAAAAAAAATGGCACCTTGTCAAAATCACAGCTGCGCTAGTTCAACTTTTTCTGAATTTGAATTTAATGAATTCGCCAATGAATATTTACATTTTCAATGACAGGTGTTATTACAGATGTTAAAAACTTTCAAATGTTAAAAACATGAGAAAATAGCACGCCTAATGGACTGGCTTACATACAGTATTAAGGCAGTACTATACCATTAATACAATTGTTTTTAAAACTAAAATCTTGAACATATAGCATGAGGTTTAATCTACTGTAGTATATTTTGATGTATAAATCATAAATAAGTTTTTCGGGCTTTTTCGACTGTTTTTAGTGCAAAGTTGACAAAGTCAAGTTTGTACTATTGTCATGATGGGGTGCAAAGCATTACGTCATTACGTGACTCAACAATGGATCGATCGATGGATGTATAGTGCAAACAATTCAATCCGGGGGGAGCGCTTGCAAATTATTTCCGTAGCTTTGCAACGTTCGGCCAGCATATAGATTAAAAAATTTTCAAATAGGATTTTATATTTTTATTCTCAACGACAGATGTTTTTCTGATTTACATTATCTAGCATTTAGAGAAACAATCATAAAATAAATATCAATTTTAAGATATGAATGGCTAATATATGTAGGTACTTTCTCGCCCTCTGTGCAACAAAATCAAATGAAACAACACACGTGCAGACGTGCTCTGCACTGCGCCAATTTTAATATGGCGGTGTCAGAGGAGTCACAGTACGATGTTGTGTATAGAACAGGTCGATCAAAGTCAAAGATGCAGTCAATTTTAACCTTGTTTTTGGTGCTTATATTATCTAACAAAGAAACAGAGTGATACAGAATATAAAAAAGTGCCTGTGGTCATGATCGTTTTGATATAAATTAGCTTACACATTTTATTAAAAATAACTCAATACCGTATACTACCTATAATGGGTCGTATAAGCATAAACAACTCCCATCTTATATTGCGATATTGTTGTAACTGTAAAATGGAAATTTTGCTCCGGAGCACAGGCATGCAAAGAGACGATGGTTCTTCAATGTTTATATTAAATAACGATGGCAGCTAATGTCATCGATCACAGGCTCTGACAACGGGCAAATCTTACTGCATTTATATTTCAGTACCATCCAACTTTTATTCCTGGAATGGTAATCATTGAAGTTTGTTAACACTATAACTATACAGAGACAATTTCCTACAGTACAGTACTGTACATGTTAATTAACAGGCCTGGAAAATGTCCAGCAGCACTGCTGCCAGGAAATGTTTCACAAAATATCTTCGCAGGAAATTTTCTTGTACTTTCCAGGAAATTCTTGTTACACATATTGGAATGCCATATAATTCCTAAAGCATTTTGCAAGTCGCGATTGTCTTGTGCCGAGAATGAAGTTTATCACAATGTGCGGCACCATACGTTCTCTGAAATCTACATTTCCAGGAAGTTTTTATTTTTGTGTTTTGCTGCCAGGAAGAGAAATATATTTTCTAGGCCTGGTTGAATAACTTGAGAGTTGCAAGGTTCAACTACAGTAATGTATATTTCTCTTCCTTATGTAATATGTTGTTACACTATGAGAGGTTCCATACAAACTATGATAGTTAAATGACATAAAAGTAGAAAGACATTGTTCCTCAACCTTGCTCTATTTTGTATAGGAACAAATCTGGTTGGATTCTTGGTTTACTGGATTGGGAGTTTATTTTTCTGCTTGGTTGATTTAACGGGTAGACCAGCATGGGTTTTACGTTACAAGATCCAGGACAACAAGCAGGTTCCAGTAAGTAAAAACTTGCATGCTAACAATTTAGTATTTTTAAACTCGCATAATGTATATATGGTCTGGCTACAAAACCCCTAATTGATCAAGATGTTTTTCACTAATGTTTTTCTAGTAAATAAGTAAAATGAAGCAAGGAATGCTATAAAAGCAACTACATAAATGATCATACATAGAAAAAAGGAACTGATTCTGAATTGTTTATGTGGTTGGGTTCATGCATGCAAAACCAAAATGACTTAAATTTTAACGAGTATATCTTACTATGTATAATATAATTATGTTTTCGGACTTTATTTATTGTCGGGCCAGTTGCTGAGAGCCATTGCATTGACCATTGAAGTGTGTTTTTACATTTCTGTTACTGTGAACCCATTAGTATTTATATAAATTTCTGGTCATAATATTTTGTAATTTTTTATCAGGTTGATCGAAAGAAATTTATAAAGGCAGTTCTTCTTGTTTTATTTAACCAAACGATTACCGTGCCAATATTTTCTGTCTTTTACTGGCTCTACAAATGGCGTGGTTGTTCATTTGGTCGTGAACTGCCGAGTTTCCATTGGGTACTTTTTGAAATTGGGATGTTCACCTTGGTCGAGGAGTTCTTGTTTTATTATGCACACAGGTAAAGTATTTGACTTCTGTGGTTGTACTTGACGTAATTGTAGTATATGAGCTTTGGGTATTTGACAAGAAAATATATCGTTACATTCTGACAGCACTGAAATGGCCGTTGTTCCTTGAAATTGCTAATTCCCGCTTTAATATCTAAAATTGACATTATATGTGTATATATAATTCTGTTTGTTTGTCACATACTGCTTGAAATAAACAGCGCTTGAAGCCTTGAACAAGATCAAATTATTGATGCATGGTTAGAATTTACGTGCATGTAATAAATGTTTGCCCACTGTGGAGATGGTGTAACTACTGTAGGGTGTAACAAATAGAATAATTTGATTATTCGTGCTAACACTATATGTAATATTATTTAGGTTGCTTCATCATCCTCGTATTTACAAGCATATTCACAAGATTCACCATGAATGGACAGCTCCAATCAGTATCACCGCAGTTTATGCTCATCCTGTGGAACATATTATCTCCAATGTCTTCCCAGTATTGATGGGACCCTTGGTCATGGGTTCTCATATTGCTACCGGTTGGTTATGGTTTGCCGTGGCTATCAGTACCACCCTTGTCTCACATTGTGGTTACCATCTGCCGTTGCTCCCGTCCCCCGAGGCTCACGATTACCATCATCAGAAGTAAGTACAGTTGCTCAGGCTTTACTGTAGCATATATAGTAGTCGTGCATGATGTTTGAAAATATTGCCAAATTTTGTCAGAATTTTCAAAATATCTCTTTTACCGTTCAATCCTTACTCTGAATTCAAAGCAAACTACCCAAGAGCTTGTTTATAAATTTGGAAATATTTCTTTAGGGATCTTGTCTGACTCTGAATCAGTAGGAGTTTTCTTCTCTGAAGTTTTGAAATAAACATACGTGCAGAAATACATAAACTAAAATCGCAGGTTAAATTTTAACCGAGGGTTAGCGCTAATCCACCTTTGAACAACCATTCCCGGGTGTTTTGCTATTTGATTTACAACATTTCAATATTCATTCGTTACCCTGGAGAGAGCACAGTATACGTACTGTTAACAATGTATGCCATATGATTTACTTTATAATGTGATTGACAAGATGCATTGTGTGTTTTCCTAGGTTTAACCAGAACTTTGGCGTGCTTGGTGTCTTGGATTGGCTCCACGGAACTGACGCCATCTTCCGCCAATCACGTGCTTATGATCGTCACGTGTATTTCTTCAATACTACATCCATGAAAGAAATGTACCCGGATGATCCTGCCAAGGGATGTAAGAAAAATTGAATCTCTTTGTGATTGACATATTTAACTATGTGAAGCGACCAGTTATATTTATCTGGAAGAGAGAAAGTATCTTTAATGTTATATGTATATATTAATAATTATTATCTTTATGGTGTGGATCGGATTTCTTTGAAATCTAAGATCAATGTAATATATAGAAAGAAATAAAGTGTGGTCATGCATGGGCTTAATTTTGTGATTTTTTTGTTATAAAGTTTTGGTTGGTTGCAGGCAGGGCCGTCCCGAGCGGTATCTGGTTGGGGGGTGAATTCAAAAATTTGCCCCCCCCCCCTTACATTCGAGGGCGCCCTCAAAAAAAATTTTCCGGAAAGCAAAAATTTTTCCGGAAAATGTTGGCGGGGTCGACGTTTTGTTTCCGAAAACGACCCAAACATTTTTCCAAACACTAGTTTTACATTATGGGGGCTTAAATTTAGTTTTTAATACCTTTTTCGACCTCAATTTTCCAGGAAAATCCTCAATATTTAACACGTCCCGCAATTCCAGCTTCCAGGTCCCCTTTTTTTACTTTTCTTTGGGGTGTTACACCCCTCCCCACCCCCCCCTGTAGTTCCGGCCCTGCTTGCATGCCCAATACGGCTGGCGGGGGAAAACAACGTAGAAAAATGTTACCCATGCAGGTGATGCAACGTACTGTTTGTATTGCAAAACGTTTACCCTTGCAAAGTAATCAAACGGAGAAAATTGCATGACAATATTCATTGAGCAGTATTCCGCTCTGACATATACGTCGACTGAGTTTGCTTATTAAACCCTGACACTTACGAAAATTACTGGATATATTGGAGAAATTTATTGGGAGTCTTGTTTGGAAAACGATACAATATAAGTGAAGATCCAGTTAGTTCCGCCTTATTCCGTCATCGTTGGAGGTTGAATCGTGGTCTTTTTACGCGTGAGCAATAATTTTACTGGAGAAGGGTAAAAAATTGATGTCCTGCCGAATGCACTCTTCCGGAAACTGTTCAGTCTTGGTTATATTGAGTCTCGTTTTCGTGATTGAGATATTGGGTTAAAAGCCAAAGTCTTGTTACAGGTGACATACTTACGAAACTATAGAGTTAGTTGATGGATACTTGTTGAGTTATTAAGTTTACGGTTGAGTGACCTCCGTTTTATTCCGGCTTTTAAAAAATCATTTCTCGATTTACATTACTGATTTACATAACAAATTAAGGTTAAAGTCTTAGTT